GTTATCTAAAAACATAATCTTATGAATGAATAAAGAGAAAATGTACATGAAATGAAATATTAGGTACAAGTGACAGCTGCTTCTTCCATGGAATTTTTTCCTCAAACCTAGAAGGTCAATTTAATTATAAGACACCAGGCAGTTCCTAAATGAATAACAGGTTACAAAATACGTTTTCAACAGGTCTGAAAATATATCTTAGAACTATTACAGATTAGAGGTTATGAAGAAAAACACAAATCTGATGCAATGTTATGTCCTGATTTGAATCCCAAAAGAGAAAAACAGACAGTAATGGAGAAATGAGCAATATCTGAATAAAGTCAGGACTTTGGTTCATAATGCTGTACTAATAAAGTTTGACTGTTTTACTTTGACAAATACATTATATAAGACTTTACTTATAGCAGCATCATGTAAAACTATGTCATGATTCTCTGCATCTTATAATTATATAAATTTAACAGAGTTCCAATATTTAAAAATTTGTATATTACTTTGATTCTCTTTCTGGTGGGTTAAATAACCAAGACAAACATTTCCAATGGCAAGCACCAACCAACCAAATGACATAAAATACACAAGGACATCTGTTTAAAACCATTTGAGAGCTACCAAGAGGATGAAAAAAATATTGTCTAGAGAGGTGCTGGTACATTGTGATGAGTTCAGTCCTGTGGGCATGTTCCTGTCCTAAAAACACAGCTAAATGACTGAAAAATGCTTTTGGTGGCCTTGTGTAAGAGAGTAAAAGTTGGATTTTGAAGTTTGAAGAGCTCAAGACTTAGTAAATTCCATGTCTATTGGCTTGAACACCAAACACAGGATGCCCAGGAATGAGTTTAACTGGAATTAAAACAGCTGTCACCAGGTTCTGCCAAGGCTTTATTCATCTGAGTGTCCCAGGAATTTAAATCTGTAAACTGTTTAAAGAGCTTCCAGATTGCTATGTGGGGTGGGTAGAAGTGTCAGAAAACCCTCACAGGAAGATTATATCCCAGGCCTTCAATTATTTCCATAAACACTTTTCAAATATAATTTTCTTCTGCAAAGTAATGAGGTATATGTGGATACAGACAACATAAAATGAACCAGACAGTAATTGGGCAACAAAATACATCCCCAAAAGTCAGGCATTGTGTTGTTAGACAAAATTTTCAAATAAGTATAACGTTGTACTCTAGGAAATAAAGACACGATATTGATAGGTTCAATACAAATTATACTATTAAATTATATTTTGTTTATTTTTAAATATGTGTGTGCTTACGTACATGTCAGTGTGGGTTTGAATAGAAGCCAGAGGGCATCAGATCCCCTGAAGTTGGAGTTGCACACAGCCTGAGTGTGACCCAGGTACTGAGAGTTGAACTCAGCTCCTCTTCAAGAACACTGTGTTCTCTTAACCACTGACCCATCTCTCTAGCTCCCTAAACTAAATGTTTAATTTTAAACATAAAATTCCAGTAGAAACCTAGAAACTCTAAACTTCTATTTGGAAATGAACCACAGAAATTCTAGAAATTGAAAGTTACTGTAAACAAAGTCTGTTAACACTTTCAATACTCAGATCTGAGCACAATTTAATACATTAATAGTTTATCATACTATTTATAGAAATACACAAAAGAGGAAATGGACAAAGGTTATAGACTTCTCAAGTGAGAGACACAAGTGTAAGGGACAAAGTGAGAAATATGTGTTCATTTGTTTTCAATTGGAATTAGAGAGGAAAGCCCAAAAGGAGCAATACATGCGGGAGCACTCACAGACTCATGTCTGCTTCTCTTGATCAATTTTCTTTTTGAAAGTCGCGTGTTCCACAAAGTGAACTCCATAAAATGAGGGAAAAGTCTAGGAGAAGCTGGTATTTAATTTATTTAACCCTTTCCAAGACAGGGTTTCTCTGTGTTGCTTTGAAGCCTGTTCTGGAACTTGTTCTGTAGACCAGGCTGGCCTTGAACTCACAGAAATCCACCTGCCTCTGCCTCCCGAGTGCTGGGGATTAAAGGGCATGTGCTACCATCACCTGGCTTGTCTTATTCCTAAATCCTATCATTCTGTTGGGAGTATTTGAATGTCTCTGTTCGTTACTTCAGCTTTGTTCCTATAAGAGTCAAAGAGACTTGAGGAAGCGCACAACAGGAAAATCTGGATTACCTTTTCTTAGTCTTGTTCAGTGAGTAGTGGTGTGGAGGAATGGCCGCTTAGCTAAACAGCTGCCATCTTCATTAGACCAGTTGTGTCTGTTTACAAGCCGTATCATCCTAGACTTGTTGACTACTGAGGAGGACCAGTATACCCTCACTTGAGATTCTGGCGACTCCTCCTGGCCATTTGTAAGCAATTCTGTATTAACTGTATGTGGCCTTGGTATCCAATGGATGTGCTATGATAGAAGATATAGAATGGGGGATGCTAATTGAAAGGGGGTTTGGTCTATGCAGCTATACGAAAACCATCCCACATGTTGAGTGAGACTTTCCAGCATGGCTGCTACAGAGTCTTCTCCCATGCTTCTGCAAGAAAGGTCTCATTCACGGTCTTCAAGTCCAATAAACTCAGTGGTTCCCCCAGGGTAAACTTTGATGTAACTGTCCTTTGGTTTGTCCTTAGGACCTTAGGAGAAGGACAGAGTTTTTGTCCCTTCCTTGTCCTTCTAGGGAAATGGTCCTCTAACTTTTTAGTGGACGTTGTCTCATCTATAAGGATGGCAGCCAGCTGTATGATCTGTAGATCATAGACTTCAGAGATAAGTCACATTAAACCTAAGATATATGTCATGAAAATAGAGCTGTCTACTTGAAGGAAACGGATGAGAAAGATGTGAGGTTAATAGCCAGTGGTAGTGAGATAGTGAGGGATCTATTCAAAGGATGTCATATATTTAAATGGCAATGAGTCTATAAACCACCCCCCAAAACTAGAAAAGAAACAAAACAAGCAAGAAAACAAAAGAGTTTGTTCCTGTTGGAAGGTTGAATTCATCTAAATGTGAGAAAACCATCTATAATGTGTAAGGTGGAGCTACTCACATAACTATACATTACATAGCTACCTAGGTATACTTTATATTGCTCAACCAACTTCTGAATTGAAGCATATCTTAAATGGTAAAGAATTAGACAATTGTTAGTCCTAGGTAAAAACTGGAAGAGAAAAGGTTAGTAATAAAATTCAACTCATGTCCATATATTTTTCTACATTCCACACTTCCATCTTTCTAAAACAAACTGTCCTTGAATTAGCAATCTCTGGGCATAAAGGTTGAACAGCTGTTTGACTTAGTGCATGTGACTTCTTGTTATTTCTCTGACTGAGATATTTGATGGGTACACCATTTGGAATGGGGTTTTCCATCACAGATGTTGTTTTTTTTGGCATGAAGTTTGAGATAGAATAAGAGTAATATTTTGAATTTGTAGGATTAAATTGCCGAAAAGGAGTCTGGCAGACATTTGAAAACCCGAACTTCATCCCCAAAAGCATTTAGACTATGATGGGGATAATGGAATAGGAATGTGGCTTTTCTGTTTGCAGAAAATGACATGGTCCTCACTTAGATACTGGACTGGGGAGAGAGTATCAGATAGGGTACAGACTGTATTCCACATAAGAATGTTTTCATTGTGACTTTGTGATGCTGATATATGCGTTCAACAGAAATATAATTTCAGTCTGGATTTTTTCCATGCTAGCAGTGTGCAGAACAATTCCTTTCGTGAAGCTCAATAGCCTTAGCTACAGCTCTCCATCAGATACATATCACACCAAGAAATAGTAAGTACCTAATGAGTACTCTGCAGCATGCTTGGTTGTTGGGCATTGTACTCTTCCATTTCATGTCTGCAACTCACTCATTTCTGTCTCTCACACTCACATATCCACACTGATTTTACTTTCAATAGCATGTCATCAAATTGCAAGAGCTACTCAACTCCTCGGTTGCCAAATGGACTATTTTTCAAGCCAGGCTAACGGAAATATTCTAAGCATATGTAATACCTTATTTAATATGTAATGTATGCTTACATTGGTTACGTTGGCTACAAAAAGCTATGGTTACAAGAAACCTACAGAAGGTAGGTTACAAAAAGTTGTGATGTCTAGTAGGTCGGTGCATTAAATGCATTAGCCACTCACTCAATGATATTTTCATCTTGTGTTGGATGTTTCAAGATATAAGCCCACGGGTAGCTTGAAGAACAACTCTCTTGACCGTGCTCACCAGCTGATATTTAACTATTTCTTGTGTTCCTAATTTATGGGAGGTGGAACTGAGGCACAGGGAATTTAAGCAACTGGACCAAGAACACACAAGTAGAATAATGGAAGTCATAACTTGGATCCATGGCTTAAAACTAATGAATAAAATCTAGAATATTATCTCCAAAACTGAAAAGAGAAAGGGAAACACACTACAGGGCAATGGAACACTCCTGAATTATGAATGTTTGCATATAACCGAGAGCCGAAGCACCTGCACAGAACTTTCAGGAAGGCTTCACTAAAGTCATAACATCATACTGCAGCCCTCCACGGTGACAGCAGGAATTCATCTAAAACATGACATGATTTTTTTTATATGGATTATGTTTTGTTTTGGTTTGTTTGCTTCCTTTTTACATTTCCCCTCTTTTGTCTCTAACCTCAGACTGTGTGTATATACTGCAGAACTTTCTTTGGGGCTTCAGTCTTTCCCTAGTCACTAACCATTGCCATTGTGGGAAAATCTCCTCAGTTGTAAAATTAATCTCTGGCTCCCTAACTAAAACCCATTTCCTCATCTCTCATTTTATTGGAGAGAGGAGACACAGGAAGGTGGTTAGCATTCTATTCACCTTGGGTTTTCATCTTGATTTAATAACACGTTTAAATCTACTTTTGCTAAATCCCATTTAAAACCTTCCTGACATTAATTACTGTTATGCGCATGTCTCTGATGGGGTGGGGCTATTGTACCATATTCAATGTGCTTCACCGCGGCTTCTCCAGCTTACCTCTCCATTTTCTAGAGGATGGATCTTGGAATAAAACGAAGTGCAGATGACCTCATCATCTTTTGCATAGGATGGTGGTCCAGTGCGGGGATAGATATTGTAGAGGGTCAGGCACTCGGTGTCCGTCACTGCATGATACTGCCAGGGTTTGTACTCCACGTCATCCAGGGAACGTTCCAAAATCCAGTTTCCGGGCCGAGGGGAGTTGGCTGCTTTCACGATCACATAGGCAATCTGGAACACCTGAGGGTGAGTGACAGCCACACAGCTGTTAGTTCCAAAGTGCTCTCTCTTAGCTGTGCCAAGCAGAAAGAGGGTCACTATCTGAGAGTTCATCTCGGATTTTGTTTTATAACTCAATTGTATTCTGCAGAAGTGATTTTAGTATCATGTGCTCATATTTAATACCTTCTTGCTGAGACAAGCTATTTCATTTTAACATTCATGACTTTGAAGGCAATGAGTTAAGACTAGACTTCAGTTCTCTAAGAACTCATTAGTATTGTTTCTCCTAGTTTTAAAAGTTCTCTTACAGAATTAACACTAGAAACTTACTCCATACCAATTTCCTCACCTCATATTAGAGAGAAGAAAATATATACTAAAAATAAAAACAAGTTTATTTAAATCCACTTAATCCTCAAAAAAACTGTAGACTGTGTTTGACATCAAAAAGAGCATAGCACTTCAGGGACATATTCTTGTGCTCAAATTGTAGGTCCAGCAAACCTAGGAAGATTATTTCTTCCTCCCTGTAGTTTCCTTTTCTATGAATTAAGATCAAGAATAAGCACATTCCCAAAACACCCCTGGATTAAATGGGATAATGTACACAAAGTCTCTGAAAAAAGTACTTGGCAGTAGATAACCAATAAATTTGGATTTTTCTGCATCCCCACATAGAAAATATGGAGCAGAAATCCCAGTGACGTGTGAACAAGTGATTAAAACTATTACATAATAAATGTGGTGGTGGTGGGGGTTTCTGTGCTTTCCCTTATGAGAAATAAATACCTAAAAATTAGGGAAGAAAGAGTCACTACTGCTAATATTTGACAGAGTAAACCCAGGGGCAGAAGGAGGCAGGGGAAGCAGTAACCTTTTCAAATCTGCATACAATTTAATGACAGAGAGAAAGAAAGAGAGAGAGAGAGAGAACTAAATATTTGTGAGAATGTGTGTTTGCAGGGCAGTAAGAAAGTCTCATAGAACAATGTTCACATATTATAAAGTAGCAGTTTTTTGTACTATTATAGACAGAAATATAGATGCAACCTAGATAAAAATGCCATCTCTCTAGAATGAAAATGATAATCCATGAAAAGAAACAATAAAACAATATAATAATTTCTAGACTGGTAAATCCTGTACCGTATAGGGATTTTGACAGCTTTAAGGTCACTGGATGATGAGGTCACTAGTGGGGAGGAACCAGGTGACAGGTCTATTCAGCAATGTGATTAAAGATCCTTCTGTGTCATAGAGGGAATCCTAAAAGGAATGTTCTAGAGAAACTGTATTGGCTTCTGAGTTTCATGAATTCATTACAGTACCTGTGATATACTCTTAGAAAAGAAATCTTAAAATATGAAAACTTGATATAGAAGGAGCAACATAGGTCATAACTGTATCTGGAAGATGTTTCCTAAAAGGTAGACAAACCGTGGGGATTGAGAAAAACACACAATCCCTCAAATGATTGAAATTAGAGCTGGTATTTGCTGGCTAGACAAAGTGTGGGAAACTGGAGGTCAGAATGTGAATTCCTTCTGTTAGTCACTATTGTCCAATGTTTCAAATGCTGTCTTTTACTTGAGGCCAACAGACTAAACCAAGTGAGATAAGAACCAGCCAATATGTCTAACCTGTTCAGAAAGGTCTTGTGCCATTCTGTTCTCTTGAATGCCATATAAGTGAGATTATTTATGAGTTTTATATTTTTCTCATGTGTATGTTTGCATATGCATGTGTGTATGTGTGTGTATGAGTTTGCACAGGCCCAACACTGATGTTGGGGATTTTCCTTGACCATTCTCTACCACATTCATTGACGCAGAATCTCTCACTGAACCCAGAGCTTGCCAATATCGCTAATTTGGTGAACCATTTTGCCCTAGCATTTCCTTGTATCTGCCTTCAAAGTGCTGGAATTATAACTAGACTACCATGCTCATGCAGGTTTTAGATGGGTGCTTGGGGTTTAAACCTCATTCTTCACAATTGCACACAAGAACATTGACTGCTGGACAATTTCTGTTACCCCAAAGTTTACATTTCTGTAATTTCAGATACACACATATCTATGAATGAACATATAAATATTTGGAAATACTTATACATTTGAGACAAAACTTTAAGGATGAGGAATCAAGGAGAGGTGGAACATGAGGGCTCCTTCTTCATCCTACTATCCTTCATGTTACTTATATTAATACAAATGTCCTACTTTCCAAAAAAATGATTGTCATTACTATTTTGTGATTATAAAACTTAGACCCAAAGCCTATCACACACTTGGAGAACACATTACAATAGAACCGAATCTGCGGTCCTAGTTTCTTCTATTCTAAGTGGCCCTGGATAGCCCAGAATTTGTAACTCCTCTACTTAAACCCGAATGTAGAGACTATAGTTACGGCTGGCTTCCTATGACCTGGATGTATCAGATTCCATTATCTACAATATTTGCTTTTTCTGAAATTTTAGGTGTTGGCCCAGATGAATTATCTCCATTTAAGTAGATGCTAGTCAATAATACGTCAATGAAGTCCTCCTTGAGGGATACATCAACAGATCCTGGTAAGGAATGTAAAGGAGGGCAGGACTCTACTGCCCAGCTATTGTCTCTTCTTAGTTAGCTATAATCCTAAAGCAACTTTGGCAGACCTTAAAATGGTAAGAAAGGGGAACAGTTAATTTCTAAGGATTTGGGGAGCTAAGACTTTGGCCTTTACATCCTTAAAAATGCTGTCATTTTATGATAATGTTTTGTGACAGTGTGCATTTGGCATTTATGGCATGTTGAAGAATCATGGAAATCACTGAAGCATCCAGGTTCCCACTTTTCGTTTAGCTCTGGCAATCTCTGTTTGCAAGAGCCTGAATCCTAGTCAACACCAGAGCATACTTGGAGGTTTGATTTGGAGGAAGCAAGATATTCATTTCTCTGCTGCTTCTCTTAATCAGTTTTGATGGTCTAAGGAAAGTAAGTAAACTCCTTAATATTCTGCTTTCTAATTTTTTCCCAAAGACAACACAAGGAAGAAATAGTGAGATGATGAACACAACATGCTGGGTACTCTTTGGGAAAGCCTATCTGCTGCACATATATTCAAGCTGGTATCTTTCCTTCCAGGGAAAAAATGGGTAAAGATTTTATTTTAAAGATATACAGAAACAAAAGATAATGGAACATATTAGAGATCACAGTAAGTCCATAAGAAAAATAAGGATACACTGAGGTTATAGATAAGGAACTTTGTTTAGCAAGCAACTCAGCAAGCAGATAGAGGAACAGGCCAACTTCTCTTGGGGCTCTGATACAGATTTATGATTCCAGAGCATCTGTGTTGGCTCTGAAACAATAGATGAAAACTTTTTTAAACAAAGTATCTCGGAGCCTCATTCTATAATTCAATATAACAGCCAGTATTAGGCGCCATGAAAAGCAGTCACTGCCTTTTAAAATATCAAAAGAGCGCCATTTCAAAACAATACTGCTCTTTCATCTGCTTTCTGTGGATTCTTCTACATCCCATGCAACATTAATTAAATTTGTTGGCATGTACTATTATGAATAAACTTCTTAAAGTGTTGTAAATAGCATTATTGAAAAACACAATGAATAGAAGCATTCTTTGAGGGCTTGAGAGAGTGAATGTGGAAATTTCTAAGAGTTTTCTAAGTACTTCACATTTTCAATGCCTCAAACAGAATAGCTCTTTAATGTTTTCTATGCTGTTTTTATTAACTGTCTCTTGGGTTTTACATATAAAGACTCTTAGAAATCAGCAAAGTTAATACCTTATTCTAGATGAATAAAGGTCCCATCTGTTACAGTACACAGCAGGGAAAGCAAACATCCTCCTATAACAACTACTGAGACCTCTAAGTTTCAAGTACCATAATATAGCAATGTGATATGCAAATGGTTTTTGTTTATTTGTTAATTGATTGATTGTATTGGATGGGGGCTTGGTTTTCGGTAGGAGAGTATTTTAAAAAATTTAGTGCCTGGAAAAAATTCAAAATAACTTTTTAAATGACACAAAATATCTGGAATGCTACTGTAACCAAGAGAACTTTCTGTGTCTTATTACTATTGCTGCTCATCCACACATGTAACAGGCAATCATGTAATTACTACATTTGGTGCAGTGTTGAACTAGATGTTCCTTCTCCAATAATTGGAGTATTTAGAAAGCAGTTTCATTTAGCATGTAATTGGAGAAAAGGGTCCTTTAGAAGGACCTATCAGTGCAAGGATAATTATAACACACAATAAGCTTTACAGAAAGACACCCTTTTATACCATTGCTAAAATAATGTGATAATGTACAATGCTACCTCAAGTCAGTAAACTGGGAGCTTGGAGAACTCTGGGTGTTAGCTTGGTGCTGATTACCTTAGCTCACCTACAAATGATGAGATAGGGGAAGTATTCAGAACTAACTCTAATGTATGCATTGGTGAGTGATTTCTTTAAGACTGACATCCAAAACTTTTAGGATTCTCCTTTTTCCTGGTCCCTTGGACTTCAGAAGGATGTTACCAAAAAGTGTTGCATTTTGGATATTCTGGAAATTTTGAGTCTCAGTGGTAAACAGTTAAAAGAATCTAGATGAGAGCTGGGAAGACAATTCAGCCATTGAGAGTGCCTATTGTGCAATGTTCTTGTCTGTTTTCAATTTCCAGGTGGCTCTATATATGTTTTTCTTTGGGTTCACCTTAATAGCTTCTCTAGGATCATGAACTATAGGCTCAACATCTTCTGTTTATGGCTAGTATCCACTTATGAGTGAGTATATAACAATTCGTTTTTTGCGGGGGAGGGGAGTCTAGGTTACCTCACTCAGGATAGTGTTTTTTAATTCCATTCATTTGGACGCAAAATTCAAGATATCATTGCTTTTTTTTTGTTTGTTTGTTTGGTTTTTGTTTTTTTGTGTTTTTTTTTTACCACTGAGTAGTATTGTAATGTGTAGATGTGCCACACTTTCTTTATCCATTCTTCAGTTGAGGGG